CCAGGCTGGCCTCGAACTCACAGAGATCCGCCTGGCTCTGCCTCCCGAGTGCTGGGATTAAAGGCGTGCGCCACCAACGCCCGGCTTAGAGGTGTGTTTTTTAATGCAACTTTCTGTATGTGGAGGAGTTAGTTTATATTTTATTTTTGTCTGATTCCAAAGAAACATGTCCAACTATGCTAATACTACACATAAAACCACATTCCAACTTAATTTCTTTCCTCAGAAAATGCTCTGAAATATAGTCAGACATTGAAGATTAGAAGGCTTAGTTTTTCACCATTTGAATATAAATACAACATCAACCCATTGTCATGAGCAACTTCTCTTGTCCTTTCTGTTTCTTGAATACAAGTTTTCACAAATTGTTTAGACCATCATGTAGAGATACTTTGAATAGCCAGTGGGAAATGTAGATGTTCAGAAAGCTTTACTCTTCTGGTTCAGTCTTCCTATTTCACTCTTACAATTACCAAACACTTTGAACAGAAGCATCACAGAAAGTGTTACTAACAATAACAATGGCAATATGTTAGGTGCTTCCTGAGACTTAGCAGGCTTGGAGGTGACTAGAATAGAGTGATGCATTATAATGAATCACCAAGAAAACCAGAAATAAAAACTGTAAGACTCAAGTTTATGAGCAAAAGAAGGGTTTCAAGGTTATATTTCTGTCCCTGAATGGTAATTAGATTTTTGCTTGATAGAGGTTTTTGCTGAAAAATATGCACAAACACTTCCCTCCTTTAGGAGTTAGTCCGAATGAACTTGCCATTTACCTGGACAAAAAGGCATTGAAAAATTGTCAGTGCCAGAAACAATAAAAGTAAAATAGTATGAAACCTACTAAAAACTAGATTGGCATGAAATTTTCTCATTATTTTCCATTCTCATCACTTGAGAATTCCTTATAAAATTCTGTCATAAATTCTTCTGTCTTGAACAGTATGAGTTAATGCAGCAGAAATTAGAAAGACAAAGACACTGAGAGGAAGCAAATGAAAACTTCTAGTAACAGACAAAAGTGACAACTTATTTATTTCCACAAATAGCCAATGTTGGCACTTTGCTCTATGTCATGCATTATTAAATAAAGCAATAAAATATCAAGCATTGACTCATTAACTTACTAGTCTCCTTCACACTTATTTTCTTCTTCTTATCTTAAAGACATATGGTACTTGATGTGGTATTTGCTATTATACATGAATTTTATTGTTAGTGGTCATCAAAATTTAGGGAATATAGAATAGAACTGTATTGTGGTATTGTGGGAGAATATATTACTTAAAATTAATGAAAGGTGACTATATCATCATTAATGAAACAAAAGAATTAAACATTCCAATTATGGTATGTGAAGTAGGTTTCTGCTTATACAAAATGTTTGAAGTGTAACAGAAATTTTAGAAAAATGCTGTTACATACAGTCAGATTGTATGAAATGATTTATAAAATGCCAGTATGTCAGTCTTCCCTAGGCAAGGGGGAAAAGTCAGGTTGGTCCAAGTAGATAAGGGTGGGACTTCAAATATGTCTTTATTATTTCTTGAAATAAATATAACTAAAACAAGCACATTGAACTATGTAAATATTTTGCTGTTGATTGTTATGTAGTAAATCTTGCAACTTTTATTATGAGACAATAATTAATAATAAAAATGTACTGACCAGGCCGGGCGGTGGTGGAGCACGCCTTTAATCCCAGCACTCGGGAGGCAGAGCCAGGCGGATCTCTGTGAGTTCGAGGCCA